AGGATCCTCAATCCTTAACAAAATCTTATAGAACTCCTGATAAGAGTCACAAGGAGTAGTGGTCGCTATAGAACGCCACTTCTTCTTAGTACCCAATCGAAAACGACGAAGCATCTCTACCGGATTAGTAGCAACCTCCGGATAATAACGAGATAAATCAGTGAACCTCCTATAATATTCATTCGCTGTCAACTTCCCTTGCCTCAATTTGGTAAATTCTTGCTTCTTACGATCAATGTACTCAGGAGGCATAAACCTTTTCCTAAACAACTGCTTAAACACTTCCCAGTCAGCCCTTTCCTCTGGGGTCAAATGACGAACCTCCTGTCCCCACCAGGATGACAATTCCTTACCCAAGAACCATAAAGTTGTCTCTACCCACCTTTCAACAGAAAGATTTCCCTGATTATGCAACACTCGAAAAGTCTTTTCAATATGCTCAAGCCACCGCTCAGCTCCCTCAAAACCCTCGTGGCCCTCAAACTTATCCAGTTTTAAATTATACATGGTCTCCAGATGAGTCCTCTGGGGAGGGCGGAGCGCAGACTGAATAGCGGTAGCAAAAACTTCCCTCAATTGAGCTACATCGGGGAAACTAGGCTCAGCAGAGCGACATAGTTCCCTACGAGGCGACATAGTTCTGACAGAAGACACCAAAACAATTAGAACACTCACAAAATATGTAGGACTGCCAGATCTATGCTCTGATACCAAACTGACACACCCCGACCGAAATCAAGGCGTGCTGGCCGTCATGTGAGGGTGACGTAGCCATGTGCACAGTGCGGAAGAAAACGATAATAATAAAAGTATGAATAAATAAAAACCAAACTACTAAATAAACTAGTTAAAGTAACACACTAGTGCGAGACTAAGTGTGATAAACATAATCAAAGCACAGAAAGCCTAAGTGCAGTCCAGAAGAACGAATACTAATTAAACAACACCCAAAGGTGATCCTACATTTGTGATGTTTTGTCAGAACCACCATCAAGTCCTCGTGAACCACCAAAGCTGCTTCTAACTAGAACCTAGTAGAGCACAAAACAGAAAGTGTGAGTGGCCAAAAACAAAGCTTTTCAAAATCATTTCATTATCAAAAGTTCTAACCCTTTACCGTAAAACCTGTATAGTTTCCCAAAAAATAGAATATACACATATATTGAAACACATGTTCAGAAATATGCCATGTCGAATGCCTCCACATAAACTGTAAGTAACCCAGGTAATGTCAAACAATGCAAGTAACATGTCAGCCGGAGTCACCTAACGTGACCTGTACGGCTGAATCTAGAGCTCAATCCCCAACTCACTAACTATACTTGCACATGAGTTGGAACCACCTAAAGTGGTCTGTTCGACAGGACTGGGTGTAAATAAATACGCTCAAGTGCTACGATCACGTGAAGACTGGGTGAATAATCGCGGGTCACCTACGAGTCGGAACCACCTATAGTGGTCTGTACAACAGGACTGTGCACCTAACTTGGATCCAAGATGATCGTGTGGTGCGGGAAGTGAACATCACGTGAAGGACTATGCCCTACTCTGGGCGGGAGCACTAACACCGGGGGTGCAAGTTATGAGCTCTCTATGCATCTCACATAGCCACTAATTCACAATCATAAACCATAAACTTACTTGGCACTTACCTGTGCGTCTGCAACACTAAACATACATATATGCAACTACTAATGCATAAATAAATAGGCAAATGCTATGCATGGCATTTAAAACATATAAACATTACATTTCATTTTCTGGGAAAAACCACAAGTATATAGGTATATACAGAAAATCAAAAGCCTACTCACTGCTATGTGGTAGGGCTATAACCCCTTTATCTCGAGTGACTACGCTCGTCCTCAGGATGGGTCTCACCTATATGCGAAACAATTTAAAGCACATAACCAAAACTAGGTAATAACTTCTCATACAATGCTCAAATAGGGTGTTTAGATATACCAACTTGATCTACTCAACCTCGCGAACACCCCATATTTTTAAATAATTTTCTAACCTCCCACGCGCCGGCCATGCGGGGGCACGTGCCTGGCACACGTGTGGTAACCTTAACGGCGTTAAGGAATATTACGTAAAAATGGAATATACCGTTATATATACATGACGCCGTTAGTAACGCCATTAGTATATTCCGTCAAAATTGACGGAATATTCCTTGTCTTCTCCAGTGAGTCTCACCGGCCGCCTGAAGGATTATTTTGGAAGATGACATGTTCATTTAAGCAACATCATTAGCATGCAATTAACAAATTAAAGGCAGAATCATGCTAGCATGCACTTAAAAACAAAACATTACCCATGAATGTTCAAAGCCTAGTAAAATGGTGAACCAATAATCAACTCAAAACAAAGTGAGTTGAAATATATACCTTTGTAGATTCCTCTTTGTATTTAAACAAAGGCTAATCACCCAAAGAGAGGGCCTTCATTCCTTGCATCTTAGATCTATGGATTTGGATGGATGAAAAAAAAGGTTTCTCCAAAGTTCCCAAAATTGAGAACCTCTAATGATTCATCACCAAGGCATAATGAAGAAGAAATGAGTGACCTTGGAGGAGTTTGATTGCTAGATGATCCCTCCAAGGTGGCCGAAATTTTAGAGAGAAAGGAGAGCTTGTGTTCTCATCCTTTCCCCAAAAACAACCCTTAATGAATTTAGGCTATAAAGTCCTTTATATAGTCCCTTCAAATAAGTGACCTAATGGACCAAAAGCCCTATTCTTCTAATATGGCCGGCCTATAGGGTTTATTGGGCTTTCAAGCCCTTTGTTTATTCAAGTTGTCATACAACTTGAGTTAATGGGCTTGACATTCAAATCCCATTGGGCCTTGCGGCCCAAAACTAACCCGAGGTCTTTAACGAACTTATTCGTTTGATTAATTAACATATTAATTAATCCTAGCCTTAGATAAATAATTAAACCATTTAATTATTCTTACTCATCTCCGTTGTTTCTTCAAACTCTACCTTACTCGGTGAACGATCCATTAGGTTCCTTTTAGCGAGGCAGTGGGCGATTAAAACTCTTTCTAATCGATTGTGAATTGAAACTTACTTTCAATTCTCCCGTTAGTGATAATACACTTTTAGGGCTTCCACAAACCATGGTTGACGCCTAGTAGCATGTCATGGTTACCCAAGCTAATCAGAAGAGGTGGAGAACCTATTCAGTTTTAGGATTACAAATGCAATACGGTCTTTCTCTAATACAATACTCTTGACCACATTGTTTGGTTTGATAGTTTATTCATGTCTACTATCCAATGTGAGTCTTGTGCTTATATGATTACCTTGAATGTGATTTGGAACACATTCCTAAATCTCATTCATACTTTGGCCAAAGATTCTTAATCATATCATAGAGTATTCTCCCTCAAACAGTTTGAAGGTTAGAGATCCCTTGTTGCGCATTCACTTGCCTCCATGGCTAAGTGGCTTAACCCCAACGATGCCGTGGACACCCTCCTGATGGAGTGACTTTGACATAATCAAAGATTAAGGACCTAACCACAAGACAATTGTGATGCCTCAGGTCAAAAGACTAATTTGCATTATCCCAACCATGAGTTCTCATGTGACATGAATATGAGAACTCTTCGTTGATCGTGTTCAGTGAACTCATTCTCTATTGAGCACCTACGTACTTGTCTTGATGTCACACACACCAATGACTCGAGACTAGTCACTCTCCCTGAGAAAAGACATAGCACGTACTGATCTTAACGGACTGTCAATGCCCAATTGACAATCCTATGATCAGGAACGTTTAGGATGTGTCAACGAAAGAATGGTCTCATGAATCTAACTTCTTTAGATCGCATTCTTCCAATCACATATTCCTTGGACTTATCGTTTAAGCATATAACATTTATATGAGACGGCTCAAACAATAATCTTTGCCCTTTACATTTAAACTACATTAGTTTGAAATGTCCGTAAAGTATCATCATATGATTGGTTTTAGGGCACATTTCCAACACCGCCGCTGTCAGCCCCGCCGTCAGCAACTTGAATTCTCCTCTGAAACTGGAAAATTTTTAAAACTTCATATCGTCTTCATCTCTCAACCAAATTCCATGAAATTCATACCAAAATGAAGCTTACAATAAGTAGAACAAAACCTTACCACTTTCAAGCCCTGAAATTCACGAAATCTCACTGAAAAAACCTCGCAAAATCCGGCCAACCTTAGAACTTGCTATCCCGACGTCCAAAATCCTTCAAACTTGTTCCCCGAGCTTCGTGAGAGTATTCTAAAGCTCCCTAAGACCTTAAAATCCACTGAAACCTTCGCAATGATTAGTGCATGAAAATTGGGTTCGAGGGTTCTAGGGTTTTCGAGGGTTTCAAGTTCTAAAAACGGTATGGATGAACTCAGGAGCTTGCAAGGAGTTCGAATCTTACCTTCTAGATGTCGATCCATGCGTGAAAGGTTGGTTTTGAAGTTCGTCCGTACACTTGCAAAGGAAATGGAAGAAAATCCGAGAGAAAGAAGAGAGAGGGAGTCATGGGAGTGTATAGTATAGGTGTATGTGTGTGTTCTGTAGAGTCAACCACCAAAAACAACACACCAAAATGGCAAATATCCACCAAGGGCATTATTGTCATTTCACACCTATGGTACAAATAATTCGGGATGGGCTGTCACAACCACTCTTTTTATGAACTCTCCAATGTTTGGTTAGTGCTACAAAACAATGTTTAAGCTTCATTCTTCCATGATATCATTTGATAATACAAATTTTTGATGTACTAAAAAAGTTTATTTTGGTTAGAGAAACACCGTAGGAACTATGCTAATCTACACTGAGGGGATGAAGGAAAGTTTAAACCTGGGACATAGTGGATACCCTATCCACGGCTTTGCCGTCAAGCCATATTGTTTACGCTTCCAATATCGGGTTAAAGCTGCTCATTTCTAGCTCTATGCCCCAAAGATTTCAATCCGGGGAAATTTGTAACTAAAATATAGTGGTTAATCAGAAGAAACTTGTAATATATATTATTCAAATCACGTGTAAATTCATAACCTCTCTTATATCATGTTATTCGGCCGACCACACAGCAAAGTTTTATTCAAACACCAAGAGTTTATGTATGTATGTGAGGTTGACCCAAAATAAAGGGAGGGGAGGAAACAACAAACAGAGACGTTAGAACCATTTGTGATCCTAGAATGCGTTTGATGAGAGATTGTTTATGAGGCTACATTGGTTATGCACCTGCAGATCTTCAGATTTCTACACCAGGAGCTGCCTTGTACTTGAGGCTGAAGTTTCGCATCAAGAACAGCCGCTTGGAGTGAAAAGAACTTACATTATCTCAACCACTGCCCGACCAACAATGCTTCCCTTATTGAGTTCCTGGAATGCTTCGTTACTCTCCTCAAATTTGTACCTTCTAGAAACAGCATTAGCTAGATCAAATACGCCTGATTCTGCCAATCTGACCAACTTTGGCAGATCCTGCCTTGCCCTCCCTCCGTAAGATCCAATGATTTGTATCTGTTCCACAAGATTATTGCCAAAGAAGTAAAGATGTTTGCTGAAATGAAACACAGAGTCCTGGACAACTTGATATTTAGTCTGCTTGTCTCAACAGATGACAAAAAATTACAAAGTCAAAACATACAACTAAACAAACATGAGATGAATCTATGAAATGGTACCTCGAGACTTGAGCTAATGTTGTGGTCATTTAGATGCAAGAGGAAGTAATTGCTCAAAACAAAAGGAAAATTTAATCATAATACCATTTGGATAATACCATTTAGCAGCCACAGGATCTAACTCTCAAATCCCCCCATGACCAACTAGCTGAAGGAAGTTGACTTTCAACCCGAAACCAATTGGTAAGGGCTGAAGTAGCCCATCTCTTTACAAGCTTATGCAACGTTCTTTAATTCCCAACAAGGGACTCAGACTCTCAATACTAGCCATCTCCTAGACACTGGTAATCATTGGCAGAGCCAGTGTTTAGCAGGAGCGGAAGTCCCAAGTTTGACAATTGATCTTACCTACCAGTCTTATAGCAATTCAAAAGATTATATTTATGCCTGTTTGTTCAGCATCAATAGGCCATATGTACGCTACAAAACCTCAGTACTTCAATGACTTCACTCTGTAGCACTGATTCAGAACAGAATCAGCGTACTCAAGTACAAGACTATAAATGGATGGAATCTGAAAGATCATTCACGCTGCTAACTACATAACTTCTTGTACGAGAATACGAGCTTCCCCTAGACTTCTCAATTCTGTTATAATTCCAAGAATCTTATCACAACTCTACCTAATTACATTCATCTAATAAACATTGATGTGGTTCCATAAACATCATACCATATTCCAGAAATTGAAAATCAATTGTCACTTTGATACAGCATTTATCATACTCACCTTTCTACGGACAAGACGGTTTATATCTACTTCCCCAACTGCACCAGCTTGTGAAAGCCCAACCATTACAGCTTTTCCTCCATCTTTCACACTTTGCACACATTGCAAAAATGTCTGCGGCCTTCCCAGGGCTTCCACAGCGATGTCCACACCCTTTCCACCAGTTATTTCCTGTCCAGAACAAGTGAACAGCAAGTCAACAGTACAGGGATAGAACACGGAAAAGGTTTTGCTTCATCTCAATATCAATTTCAAAGGTACAGATTCAACTTAACTCTAATATTAGTTTATGCTCTTTTGCTAGCACACCCACAGGTTATTCATCATGGTACTTGAGTATTATTTGTGTCATCACTTTTACACCACACAATAGGGGCAATGCTAGTGGGGATGACACAAACAATCACACAAAGATTTCCAAGAATCTTGCTTTATGTAATATGCTGTGTGTACGTGCTTATAATAATTCTCAAATGAGGTCATTCAATATGGTCTTAAAATGAGGAAATGTTTCTGTTGGGGTTGTGTAGCTTGATACAAGCCATGTACAGACAGGCATAACCTCACATCGGGGAAGTACCACAATAATCTACCAAGTTAAAAAATGTGATCCACCACTAACAGCACTAACTGGGCATTCAGACCTCCATATTTCATCTAATGACTGATTAACAGGTCCTTGTGTAAGTTCCTCAATAGGAAATAACTCATGACTTATGGTTGGCTCCATGGGGTAGTTTAATGTATTTTGTTGGACGTTTAATTGAGACAACACAAAGACAACCAAACTATTTTGGAAAAATGAGACTGAAACAAATTATGGACACCAGGATTAGGAAAAAATCACATTGCACAATTACTATATCAACTACTGCATCATATGTAATAAAAAATAACAGAAAAGTGCTTTAATATGTACCATTATTTTGCCAACAGCATCTTCTTTAGCTGCATTTACAGCATGCGTAGCTCCAAATATCTTGGCTTTCTGCACTTTTTCATCTTGAACATCCACAGCGATAATATCAGAGGCACCAAATGCTCTTGCTATCTGCAAACAGCTGTCACAAGTGATATAATTGTAACATGTTTATAATAATTTCATAAACAGAAGTAAAAGGAACATTCAAGTTAAACAAAAAAACCACCAAAGCTAAAGTAGAATGCCTTCCGTGTATGGATGATATTATATCAAGTCCAAAATTGGAAGGGAAAAATAGAAAAGACAAAATATAACGCCTTAGTATCAACCGTATAACCAAAAAGAAAATTCTGAGCGAATACAAGATCTTACAGTACCTTGACCCTACACCCCCAATTCCAATCACAGCAACTGAATCCCCAGGCTTCACCTGAGCCGCATTAGCCATAGTACCATAAGCGGTAAACACTGCACAACCTAAAACTGCAGACTCGATGTATGGCAATGACTCGGGCAAAATAGTCAATCCATTTGCCGGCACAACACAGTATTCAGCAAGGCCTCCCATACTATACATGTATACTGGTTCTCCTGCACAGTATAGAATACCTTTTGGTTATCAAACAATGAACATCTGTAATCTCCACAAGCTTAGCTGACATATCAAAACAGGAAAAAAAAAAGAAGCAGAATTTCGAGGAGGAATCTTGAAACACATCACAGACATGTCAGGGACATGAAACAAGATTTTGACTAAAAGAACATTACTAATTTTTCCTTCAACTTTCCACTAATTGCACAAATGAGCAGTCACGTTTTAACTTTTACACAAAAAGAAAAGGTGTCTTGCTTACCAAAAAAAATTATGGAAATAGCCAAATAAATACAATGGATCATGTATGCTACCATATACAAAGGTAAGAACAAAAAACTACCATCACAAGTAAAGATTCTCTAAGTGGTAGGATTTAAGGAACTTTACTGCTATGTGTTGAAAGAGTTCAGTTTGTCTTGACATTCAGAGATTGACATATTCAACAATAGAGTTTCACCATGAAATGACCATGGTAATGTCTTACAGCAATCAGAAGTAAAGACGTGTTCATTTCAAATCCTTTTAGCCCCGCATTACAATTACAGATACTAGAAACAACAATTTATACTTTAGCTTGAGAGTTCATGAAATTGACAAAAACAAAACCAAAAAAAATATAGATATAGAGGCAGAGAGATAAAAAGAGACAGACAGACATACAGAGAGGAGAGAAAAGCACGCTTACCACTGCTGCGGAGGAACAGCCGAGTTTCACCATCATAAAGAGTTCCTTTTGCACGGTTATAAGCAAAGAAATCCTCGCATAGATCATCATGGCCCTTTATTCCAGTTCAGTGATTAAAAAACACAATCAACTATAGAATACACTGTTTCCTCCCAAAAGAAAATGGTAATTACCACATTTGTAAAGCAGTTAATAAACCATCATATGTCAATAACAAAATTTAAATGAGCAAAGTAGCATCTCCGAGAAGTATTACCTTTGAACAGTAGGAACAGTTGCCACAAGGCATGATGAAAGCTCCAACAACTCGAGATCCAATTGGTAATCTGAAAAATTTGAGAAAATGAAACTAATGATCCATTTTGGTTTCCCTCTGTTTCAAATTTCAACAAAAGATATGGCATGTACACATTCAGGAAAATGAGATTCACAAACATTATAAAACGATCATGGCGGTGGTAGTTATGTTAATGGTTGTCTTAGTGGCACTGCTGATGCTTCCAGCGGTGATGCAGATAACTGTGGAGGAAGGATGGTGATGGAAACAAGGTTGTGGTGATGGCCAAGGGAAGATGGTGGTAGTGAATATGGAGGTTATGGTAGTTGTAGCCCCGTTTTCTTAAAAAAACTGACATATCTTAGATATTGGGAACAAAACGTATTCAGGTGGAATTTAAAGTTGGGATTTATGAACTCCAGATTCGAAGTTTCTTTCAATGGATAATCTAATGAGAGCATTATTTACAGAAGATGATGAAGATTGTTGAAATCTAAACAAAGTGCACCTTGCTATAGTTTTGGTGTCTGTGGCCGGTCCATGTTCGACAACCTCACCAGTTATCTCATGTCCCACAACACATGGGCTAGCAAATGGAAGCTCGCCTTTCATAACATGGAGATCAGAGTGGCAAACTCCGCATGCTATAACAAAGAAACACGAACAATATCAGCCACCATAGTAGCAACGGAATGAAGAGGTGAACAAGCCAAAAGAAGCAACAAGGCAGAGGAAAAAGAAACTATCATTTGTAAGTAAACAACAAAGGTAAAATGATAAGTTACTCGAGAAGATTAAAGAATCAAAATGGCAACACCGAACGAATATAAAATACAATGGCGAAGACGACGACGACGACACATTGATCACAATTGAATTGAGCAATCATTTTCAACCTGGGCACGCATGAAACAATGATAACAAATTAAGATGGACAAATTAGGCTGAAATCAAATGATTCCCTTTTTAACTTCATTTCTTCGGTCAATCGGCAGCTATGCAATTAATTAACATAATTTCAGGGTGTTTGATTTAATCAAGGAGTTGGAAATGAATAAACATGAGGAACAAAGATACAATAATTACGGATCCACAGAGAGAGAGAGAGAGAGAGAGATTAAATTAGTACCCACCCTTGGTTTTGATTAGAAGTTCACCGGATTTGGGGCGAGGGATGTGAAATTCCTCGAAGGTGAGAGGTTTGTTGGGTTCCCTGAAGACAGCTGCCCTCATGGAGGAAGGCAGTCCACCACCGCCGCCAAGCGAGGCGTTGGAGTGAAGGCATCTGGTGGTGCTGGTGGTGGCATCTCTGAATTCGGGTTCAAATGCAGCAGAGTTGTTGCGTAGGCGTTGACCCGCCAACGGCGCCAACAACGGAATAGCAGAATGGGCAGAGGATGAAGAAGAAGAGGGCCCTGAATTTGATGGCGAGAGGAGTGTTTTGGCGATGGCACTGCGACCGAGACTGCGACTGAGATTGCGGATCATCACCATCTTTCCTTTCAATCTTTCTTTGAATACTCGGGTCAGGAGCTGGATGAGTCCAACAATTCAAAAGTAGACGTAGCTGAGTGAGTAGCTGACATGACATTTACGAGTGCCAAAGTCGTCACAGATTATTTAAACAAATAGGACCCTACCGCTTGATTCGTTGATTAAACTAACAGCCATATGTTATTTGTTGCGGTCCGACGACAACAAGGATGTTTATCCTCATCGGATTGCAACACCGTCTCCCCTATCCTTGCCACCATTAATGGGACTCTTATTTTATTATTGTTATTATTATTTTTTCCATACAACTATATAGATTTATTTTCTTTAAGGGAGTTAAATTAGGAAAAGGACCATTGCCGGATCATTTTTCTACGGATTCAAGGGATATCGTAATTGTGTTCATTTATCGTACATCATGTGATCAGTTTTCTTTAGATACTATTTATATTTAATTTTAAATATAAATAAATTAAAATCTAAAAGTGACTAAGTATACGAGTGCATGGTGAGCGGGTTTGGACCCATTTCACGCATTATACAAAGCATAGGTATAGTACAGTAAGGTAAGATAATGATTGTACCATCATAAGAAGACATTTGTACTAAAAAGTGCCACGAATCCTCGTCGATACGGAACTCTACTGCTAGAACCTAGAGGGGTGCAAAAATAGAAAATGTGAGTGAGTGAAACAAAACTTTTCAAACCAATTTCAATTACCAAAGGCAGTAGCCTCTCGCCGGAACACCTGTATAATTTCCCAGAAATAACAGGCGTGATATAACTCAAAACCATAACCAAAATAATAGTCTCACAATTATGCCATGTCAAATATATCAACAAGAACAAGTAACCCAAGTGAAATAAATCAATATGAAATGGTATGTCAACAGGATCCACCTATTGTGCCCTGTACGACTGAACCAATAGCTCATCAACATATTAGCCGGAGTCACCTCACGTGACATGTACAGCTAAATCAATAGCTCATCAACATGCTAGCCGAAGTCACCTCACATGACATGTACGGCTGAATCAATAGCTCATCAATCAATGCTAGCACATAAGTCAGAGTCACCTATAGTGACCTGTATGACTTATCCATATCTCATCAATCAATGCTAGCACATAAGTAGGTAGGGGTGGGTTCGGTTCCGTTCGGTTCGGTTTTTTACGAAAACCGGAAACCGAACCGAAATTACTGTTCGGTTCGGTTCGGTTCGGTTTTCTATCGGTTTGGGTTCGGTTCGGTTTGTATTCGGTTCGGTTTCGGCCCGGTTCGGTTTTTTTTTTTTTTCTTTCTTTCTTTCTTTCTTTCTTTCTTTCTCCCAAATTGTTGTCCATATTGACAACAAGCACAGTTTTACAACATTCATTCTGATGTTAAAGTCTTTAACATCAATTATCAAATCAAAATCAACATGTATAAATAACCAATTACATTTACAATTTCTGAAAGGTTCTCAAAAGTTTTCAAAACCAACAGGCAACTGGCAACAGGTTCTCAAAACCAACAGGCAACTGGAACTGGCAACAGGTTCTACGAGAACTTTTTGAATACAAAATACATGCAAAAAGACAGCAGCTGCCAGCTAAAGGAAAACAAATGCCTCTTGATTAGGGAGATCAACAATTTATCTTAGTTTGTAAATCAAGAAACAGAACAAATCAACTAGTACAACTACCAAAGAGGTGGTATTACAGGAGAATTCAACCTCAGTAAACCTAGGAGCTCGGGTTGCGAGAATATATATAGCCAACAGTACTAAGCAAGTGAAACTAAGTACTACCGAACAGATAAGGCAAGAAGCAGATGGTGGAGATAACCCCATCTAATACTATCAAAGACCAAAGTCTATATTGCAGGTAACAAACTAAATTTTATCCTAATTTTAGCTTTTTACTTCAGCTGAGATTACATATCTCACTAGCTAAATCGGCAAAAGGTGGCCATAATTTGAAAAATGTGTCTATTAAGATTAGTTACAATCCATACGGCAAGGAAAAAGAAAATAAAGATACATCCATCAATATTTGTGTCTGCATTTGTGTCGTGTATGGAGAGAACTAGCTCGGGATCCCAGCAGTTCAGTTCCCACCACAGAAGCTATAATGATGGCAGCACCATCAACAGCTTATAATGTACATCTTTGTTACAGTATCTAATTCAGCCGTCACTTTATACATGTGCATAAAATCTGTTTTAAAGAAAGGGAAGAAAACAACAATAAACAAATTTACCTTTCCATTAGGGAACTCTGCTCTGTAAACACGACCAAGAGATCCTTCACCAATAAGAAATTCTTGACTGAAGCTATTAGTTGCTGATTGGAGAGAGGCAACAGTATAAGGAGTAGCAGTGATAGGTGATTTTATCCTTTTTTTCGATCCATTTTTACTATGTAACCTATCAACCACCAAAATTTCTGCGGGTGGAGGCATGAGATCAGTTACAGTAGTCGCACTTTTTACCCTCTGCTCTTGCATCTCAGTATTTACTGCAAAATAGAGCAGGGTGCAGCATGTAAATGTTTACGATACTCAGAGTACCATCCAATATTTGTAAGAAATAGCGTTAACCCTTCTGCGTCTATTTGGAAAGAGGAAAATGCTTGTATTTACGCTACTAAAAAACAAATCTTGTTTCAAAGAAACCACGTGCCTCTCAAATCATAGTTCCAACATATTAAAAAGCCAAGCTCCAAAAGGAAAAGGGAAAGGAAAAGAAGAGGAAAGCAATTCTACCATTATTTGTGCGAGCAGAGACATTTCCCCCAGAAGCTCTTGGAATCTTGTCCTCCCTTTTATTTTTGCGTATGCAAAAGGCAAGAGCAAGTAAGACAATGAGAGCAACAAAAACAGAACCCAGAATTATCCCTACCAAAGCCCCAACAGCGAGCCCATTTTTTGAAGCATGTGATTGGCCATCAGATCCCTGTGGAGGTGTTCCAGAAAAAGGAGCAATAAAAATCAAATGGGTATCCAAAACTAGTGGTATTTGGTAGATCCCATTAAGAACCGAGCTGCAAAGTAAACTTTCTGATGATCGAACTTCCTCCGGTAATATTAAAACCAGTAAATCAGATTATAGAAAAAATGATCACTATTTAACATTACCTCAAATATTGCGATGATAATATATATATAAATCGATTAGAGGGACCAAATCTAACCATATTTTTCTACAAATAAACAAAAATTAGACAAATAAAACTAGCAGAAAATATGAAAAGAACGAAAAAAAGATATAAATCACTAACTTAATCAGCTTAAACCAAAAATTGTGAACTAAAAATTCAAACCAAATTCTAATTAAAAGAATAACATAAACAAAGAACAAAATATAAAACGCGACAGCAGATGCAGTGAGAGAGATAAGATATGAACACTGACCTGCAGGTTCGAGTTTAAGAAGATACTGCGAGAGCTTGGAGAAGACGAAGAAACAGCGTCGCAGAAGGCCTTGCTGAATCGCAAGAGACGAGGGAACGGCGCAGTGCAGAAGGTGGGAAGAGAGGAAATCTGACGGCGAGATAAGAGAGAGAGACTGACGACGCGAGTCGCCTGAGAGACAGAGCGAGAGAGAGAGGAGGCTCAGGGCCTCAGGCTGCGCGAAACTGCGATCTGTGAACGAACTCTGAACTGAAGAAGAAGAACTGAAGGCAGGGAAGGGAGGGAACGAGAGTCTAGAGAGAAGAGGCCAGGCCAGGGGAATGAAAAATAAGGAGGATGAGGGTTAGGGTTACAACAACAGAACAACTTACACCGGCGGCGTCACAGTTAAGGGTTTTGTTAAAACTTAAAAAGATTAAAAAATTAAAAATAATCTTACAAATCCTAGAGGCATGAGGGTTCGAACCCATGCCTCCAGCTTGTAAACTTTCACTGAAACCAACTTGGCAACATGTTCTGTTCTGTTATGATTGTATGACTAAACTATTTATAAATATTCAAAAAAATTATATATATATATATCGGTTCGGTTCGGTTCGGTTCGGTTTTCGAGCCTCAAAAACCGAAACAGAACTGGTCAGATTCGGTTCGGTTCGGTTTGACAATTTCGGTTCGGTTTTTTTGCGGTTCGGTTTTTTTCGGCCTCGGTCCGGTTTGGTTGTCGGTTTTTTTCGGTTTTCGGTTTTTTGAACCCACCCCTATAAGTAGGAGTCACTTATAGTGACCTGTATGACTTATCCATCTCTCATCAATCAATGCTAGCACATAAGTTGGAGTCACCTATAGTGGCCTATACGACTTATCCATATCTCATCAATCAATACTAGCACATAAGTCGGAGTCACTTATAGTAACCTGTATGACTGAAGCAATAGCTCATCAAATATCCCTGCACACAAGTCGGAACCACCTTTAGTGGTCTGTACGATAGGACTGGGTGTAAATAAGTATGCTCAAGTGCTACGATCATGTGAAGACTGCGAATAATCGCGGGTCACCTACGAGTCGGAACCACCTATAGTGGTCTATATGATAGGCCTGTGCACCTACCTTGAATTCAAGGTGAGCTTAAGGTGTGGGAGGTGAACATCACATGAAAGACTGTGCCTTGGCCACAGGCAGGAGCACTAACACCGGGGTGCATTCACAATAATTATGTGCCGGTAATATACATATGGATATGCCATGATGCAATCTAAAACTCACCCATACCATAGCATTTTCAAGTATATATAAATATATATAATATGGCGTAAAATGTACAATCTATAATGCTCTACTCCCGAACTATTTATTTTCGGGAATAATTATCATTGATAAGCCCAACTAGACACTAATTTAATTAACCATTATTACTTACGTTTCCTTACTTCATTTCCTTGATTCCTCACATATCGATTTATGACCAACATTTAACCACCAAAATCATAAGGTTAAATCTCATATTTTCCACCAATATCCTTCGCATTGCTCAGTTCCCCAAACAAGGCTATTGTCCCAATTAATTAGTCTCGTTTATTGTATGGCTGCATCTAACGTCTCGTTAGACTGCCTACGTACCCTAAACAGGGATCAAGCCATTCGTAGTTCTCACTTGTCCTCCAAAGCATTCACAGAATTTATATGAAATATTCAATTTATAAACAATTGTGGAGATGTTAATCTTATGTGTGTGTGTGTACACACACACACACACACACACGATAGAAGGGAAAAGACCCACTCACCTTAGGTCCACGCTACGCTTCCCTCGCACGAATATCGAGACATCACGAACTATCATCGCCTGTGACCAATTATCAAATTATGTCTCAGAGTTCTTACCGATAGAATACATAATTTACATAAAACACATCCCTACATAATACAATCCAGAAGATCTGCATCACGGATCTCCTATCCGTTATTTCAAAGATCTACATTATGTTTCTAGAATAATGTCCTAAGGTTTCATTACGATCCAACGGTCGGATCTCCGCCAATTGCTAAAACCAAGTGACGGTCAACATTTTATTTTATGAACTTACAAATTCAATTCGGGAAGATCCATACATCGCATTCCCAATCCGTAAGTTTCTATGATTCTTAAATATTATGTATTATAACGTATTAAAGTTTGGTGACGATCCAACGGTCGGATTGTCGATTCATATAATGACCTTTTAACGTATTGTAGAGAATTTAGGTTCCAACAATCAATCTACATCAAACGATCCTCAGGACTAAACTCCAGACATCTAATTTATCCTAAACATAGCATTGACAGTCCTCTGGCCACGCGCCGCTGTGAGTGGCGGTCGGCTACTCAGACTTGCTGGAAATTTAACTATTTCTAAAAATTCTCAAAAATGACAGAAATGAAGATCTCAATGAGAGGAACAACTTTCCTACCTGCCACGAAGTTCAAAAGTGGACGGAAGATGGTCAATTTTTGCCCACGTAGCCGGTGGGTGCCTAAAGCTTCCCAATGTCGATTCGTTGCTACGGTGGTCCAACAAAATCAAGGTTGGTTGGGTTTTGCTTCTGGGGTGATGGGCTACTGACACACCCCGACCGAAATCAGGGCGTGCTGGCCATCACGCGGAGGTGACGTAACCATGTGCACAGTGCGGAAGCTAATAAAACAATAATAGAAGAAGTACGAATAAATAAAAACTAGCATACATAAGGTAATAGAACAAGTGCTAGCGTAAGTGAGACACAAGTTCAGAGCATAACGCCTAAGCAGTCCAAACGAAAATGACGCGACAACAGTACACCCAAAGGTGGCCCTACTCTGGTGATCGTCTGTCAGAAATGCCGGAAAGCCCTCTGGGAAACCACCCAACCTGCTAGACAGTAGAACCTGGAGGGGCGCAAAACAAAAACGTGAGTGGGCAACAACAAAGCTTTTCGAAAACCATTTACAAATAAGTTCTAACCCCTCGCCGTAAAACCTGTATACTTCCCAGAAAATAACATATGTACATATATATGTATAATTAAATATATCAACCATGCTTTAGGATATGCCATGCCAAATCTCACAATGAAATGCAAGTGCTCAGGTGAAAATCATATCAATATCATATAGTCTGGCAGCTGGAGTCACCTAACGTGACCTGTACAGCTGCATCTAGAGCTCAGATGTCAATCTCAATAACTAAACCTGCCCATGAGTCGGAACCACCTAAAGTGGTCTGTACGACAGGCCTGGGTGTAATACATATAAACGCTCTAGTGCTACGATCACATGAAGGCTGTGCGAATAATCGCGGGTCACCTACGAGTCGGAACCACCTAAAGTGGTCTGTACGACAGGACTGTGCACCTAACTTGGATCCAAGCTGAGCGTGTGGTGCGGGAGGTGAACAACACGTGAAGGATTGTGCCCTACTCTGGGCGGGAGCACTAATACCAGGGGTGCAGGTTATGAGCTCTCTAAGCATCTCGAATCGCTACTGAATGTAAACATGAACAACACTTACCTGGCACTTACCTGTGCGTCCGCAGCACCCAATATGCATACGTGTATATATATATATATATATATATATATATATATACAACTAATAATGCAACTAACGATGCATAAATAACGATAATCTAATGCATGGCATATGGTAAATGACAATTCAAATCGATTTCTAGGAAAATATAAGTATATAGGTATATACGGAAAACCAAAAGCCCACTCACTGGTAAGTGGAAGGGTCGTAACCCCCCTGCCTCGAGTGACCACGCTCGTCCTCGGGATACGTCTCACCTATATGCGAAACAACTATAAAAACGTTAATTTTAAAGCACATAACCAAACTTTAGAAATAACTTCTCATACAATGCTCAAATGGGGTGTATGAATACACCAACGTGATCTACTCAACCTTAGGAACATCCCCATATTTTTAAAATAATTTTTCACCGTCGCACGCGCCCCCACGCGTCGGCCAAGGCACAGCCACACAAGCCGGCCACGCACAGGCACGTGCCTGGCACGCTGACGGTGTTAACTGATGCCGTAGGGAATATTCCGTCAGATTTAACAGATTCTGTCAACGGTGTCAGGAATATTCCGTCAGACTTGACGGAATATTCCGTCGTCTTCTCCGGCGAGCCTCCGGCGCCAGCGCGGGAAAATTTCAAACTTCAATATCTTCTTCGTTTTTCATCCAAATTTCACAAAATTGGTATCAAAATGAAGCTTAGAACTAGAGGAACACAATCATACCACTTTCAAGCACCAAAAACCACTAAATCTCACTTGGAAAATCACCCCAACTCCGGCCAACTTTGAAACTCGTGATCCCGACGTCCAAAACCATCAAACGAACCACCCCGAGCCTTCTAGGAACCTCACCAAGCTACCCACAAGCTTGAAATTCCCTAAAACGTGAGAAATCACGTGTGCATGAACAGTACCTCAAATCGGACATCGTGTAATCGACGTGAAAACGAAGGTGTTCTTACCTAAAATGGGCATGGTTAGACTTCTACAAGCCTCACGAGTCTGAATATGTGCTTGGATTGCACGATCTGTGAAGGTTTGATGGATTTGTGGGTGTGTCCGTACATTTCAATGGAAATGGGAAGGGAATAGGGCTCGGGACAGGTGCAGGGAAACAGGAGAAAAGGTTGTGGTATGTGGGAATGTGTGTGTGGCCAACAACATGCCAACCAAACTCAAAAACAACCAATAAATGTAAAGGAATCGAACTAGGGGCAATTTCGTCTTTTCACACATACATTGTAATATTTTGGGACGGGCTGTCACAGCTACAAAGCCCAAGTGGTGGCATCGGCCATCGCTTTGCCATTTTGGCGAAAAAATAAAAAAGGGTTGCCAGAGCATCGTGAGAACTGTTAACTTTCGTGGCCTTAAACCGCCACATATAGAGGTTAATCAAGGTGGTTCTTGGTGGATTTTGTAGAGGGGAATGAGAGCTTCAAGATGGCGGTGGTGGTGTCGAGAAATTCCACAGGAGTTGGCCTGAATCAGCCTTGGAAGTTGGGTGGTCGCAGTGGTGGCATGCACGAGAAAGCTGGGAGTTTTCTTCCTTTTTTTTTTTTTCCTTCTGTTTTCTGATTGGGCTGCTACCTTTTTTGTACCTTTTATCTAATTGGTCCTCCTTAACCAATTAACGAACTTTAAATAACCAACATCAAACGTTCGTAACTATACCGTTATAATCCAGACTCGCTTACAAACGGCTTTTGCCTATGTGTTGGTACCAACAAGTACTACTTAAATATGCTGAAAGAATAAGTCATACGCTTCTCTAAACGATGGTTAACGAAAGTCAAAGTCTTTGCCTCTAGGACATTTTCGT